GGGGGGCAGGCTTGCAGGGTATACCCTTTGGTTGGTTGACGATGCATGGAGGGGATTGTAACCATGGCAATGAAACAATTATATAATAGGATGAATGTAAAACGAATGTTCTCCCATGTAAACTATCCCATAATTCACAATAAAACATTTAAAGAAACAAAAAACAAAACAAAACAAAAAAGAAGGCAATCTCAAAAAAAAAAAAAAAAAAGTTGCCATAACCTTCTGAGCAGGCTTCTCTTTGAATTGAACTGGCCCAGCAGATTCCCTGGGAAGCCGCTGTTTTGATTGGACCTTTATTTGAAGGCCCCCTAAAGAGACTGAAACAAATATGTTACTGATAGAACTTGTCTGCAACCATTCACTAATCACAGAGATATATATTTAAACACATTTAGTTTGGAATAAAGCTATGCATGTATGAACTAGAACCCTAGTAGCAATAGTTTTTGACATATCCTCATATATTTAACAAAATATTTGCCAACTGGGTAATTTTTACATGTATAATTCAGTGATATTGATTATATTTATGGTGTAGAACCATTAATACGATTGTTTTCCAAATTGTTCCATTAGCAGAAACTCAGTGTCCCCTAAACAATGACTTCCCTGTCCCCCCTCCATCATTCCCCCTCCTAGAACCATCAATAAGCTTTGGTCTCTAAACATTTGCCTAGTTCACATATTTGTCCTTTTGTAACTTCTTTCACCTCAGCATGTTTCAAGATCCCTCTATGCTGTGGCACATGTCAGGGTCTCACCTGTCTTTATGGCTCAGAATCACTCCACTACATGGAAACATCACATTTTATTTTTTACCTTTTGACTATTGTGAACAGTGCTGCAATGAACATTGGCATATAGATTTCTGTTTACATTAATTCTTTCAGGTTTACACCTCGGATTGGGATCACTGGGTCATATGATAATTGTATGTTGAACTTTTTAAAGAAACCACCAAATTGTTTTCAAAAGTGACAGTACCATTTTGCCTTCCTACCAGCAGTGAGTGGGGGTTCCAATTACTCTACAACCTTATCAGTATTGCTATTTCTTTCTTTTTAAAAATATTATAGCCATCCTAGTAGGGGTGAACCTGTCTCATTGTGGTTTGAGCTGCATAATTTTTAATTTTTCAAAAAGTTCAATAGTTTATGGTCCCTGAGTTTTGGCTACATGATTTCAATGCTAAGGTTATTTTAGAACCAAGATATTAAAACTGCTCCCATTAGAGTGGTTAATCTTTCATTTAGGAACAGATGATCCCGAGATCATCAAGAAGGAAGAGTACGAGTGGAGTGTGAGTTTCAACCTAGGAAACCAGCAGCAATGGCTGGGTGCCCGTGGGCAGGAGGCTGGCTGACAGAATGTGTTCTTTGGACATTTGAATGAACATGTATTTTTTGTTTTGTAAGTGTATATCAATTATTTTTGCTTTGTTCATTTGTGAAATGTAAGATGTAAATAAATAGGGAGCCACAGGGAGGAAGTAGGATAAATGCAGCAGGGAAGGGGTTGTAATTATTGAGATGAAACAAGGTGTATAGTTTGCTGAATACCAAGCTCATGATCTTGTCTATAAACCAAACCTTCACCCAATTCACAACAAAAAGTTAAAAAGAAAAAACTTCCCGCATGATTTTTTATTATATAGGTAACGTATTTGTTGTTGTTAAGTGCCATAGAGTTGGTTTCGACATAGTGACCCTGTATAGGGTTTCCAAGGAACAGTTGGTAGGTTTGAACTACTGACCTTGCAGTTAGTAGTCCAGTGCATATCCTACAACACCACAGCAGGACTCCAGATAACCTAAGAATTCATGTAATACTACATAGTATGATTGTACAGACCATCTATTGGTTATGAACAAGATCTGCTCCAACTGTGCCTTTGAAGTCTTTAAATTGAACCCGTAGGTAAATCAGAACAGGTGGTTAACTTTAAAAAATTAGGTTTAGCCTTATGTTACTGGGTTAAGCATTGGGCTACTAACCACGAGGTTGGTGGTTTCAGCCCACCAGTTGCTCTGTGGAAGGAAGATGAGGCAGTCTGCCTCCATGCAGATCTCAGAAACCCCAGGGAGCTGTCCTACTCTGTCCTCTAGGCCACTGAGTCAGGACAGACTCCACGGCAGAGGCAGGCTTGGTGTTAGTGCAAGAGAAGGGTCAGAGCCTTTTCAACAATCTCAAAGCTGCACATGCAGCCAGTGAAGGACACTGTGATGAGAAGTTTACTGGGAGGAGGATTTGTTGGATCAGTCTTCCAAAGTGAGGGCAAATTTACACAACAAGTTGTCAAATGTCCACAACCCAAGTGTTATCTGTATTACCTATCTGTAAACCATTGGTTCTTTGGAGTTTATCTTGACATATGTAAAGTATGGTTCCAGTCACAAGTATTGAATTATCCATTTTTCTACTATTGATTTAAAAGGTTATTTATTACATCAATGAAATTCCTGCCTATGTTAACATTTGAAAGACGGCAGGTGAGCTGATCAGAAAAATGTCATCGGCAGAACCCAGGATGGGAAGGGAGTGCGAGAAATGTAACTGAAGTCACAGACCCTTCCTCCTTCCCTTTTACTTTACCTGACCCATGGAGTGAACACATGGCAACTGGCATAACATCCCCCGATCGATCTGTTGAAGGACATTTATCCACCAGCAACACAGAAAACCCACAACCAAGAGGAAACACTTTTTAATATGAACACTATACATGTATGTATAAAGATGCAACATACAAGCAGAAACCACTAGTCTACCAATAATGACATTATTATGTCATCAAAGAACATATAAATTAAGTTACTAAGGGATGTCAAGGGGAAAAGTATTCTGAAGTCCTATATTCAGTTTACTCTTAGGGAAAATGGCATTGATTTGGCTGTGATCACAGTTCCATCATCTCCACTTTCTGTGTAAGTTCAGCTTCAATGGTATCCTAAAGGGAGAAAGGAACAGCAAAAACAAGGAAATCAAACAGGTGGTCTGCATCAGTCTCCACAACCCTGAGACCAGAAGAACTACATGGTACCCAGCTACCACCACCAACTAGAAGGTCTTGAATAGAGTGGGAGAAAATGTGGAACAAAACGCAAAATCCTAAAGACCAAGTTTATTAAAGAGAGAGACTGGGAGAACCGTAAGACAACTGTCCTTAGTTACTGTTCAGGTCTGGAATTAAACTCACGTCCATGGCTCAATTTTCAGCCAAACAGTATATAGGGGAGACAACGCTAGTGAGGCACGCTGACCCCGAAAAGTCAGCCATTTGAGATCAAAAGGGCAGCATGTGTCTAAGGACAAAATTCAGAAGAGTAGGGACAGAAGCAAGAAGGGAAACAAGACCCACAGGGAGGAAGTATGATTAACTGGTGTGACATTGAGGAGACTGCAATAGAGACAAAGCAAAGTGCATGGTTTGTTGAATGTAAAATAAGTAAAACTGATGATCAGATCTGCAAGGCTTCATTCAATTCACAATAAAAAGCTAAAAACAAAAACAACAGGTGTTCTAATATCAAATGGTATTTAAAATGAAGCAAGCAAAAAATAAAAACATACACCAAAACAAAAATAAAAATACCATTATCAAATACGCTTTTTGACAGTTCCTTGTTTTCTCACAAGGAGTCCTGGTGGCACAGTGGTTGAGCACTGGACTGCTAACAGAAAGGTCAACAGCCTGAACTCACCAGCAGCTTCATAGAAGAGGTAGGTAGCAGTCTCCCTCTGTCAAGGTTTCAGCCTTGTAAGCCCTGAGGCAGGTCTACTCTGTTCTACAGGGTCACCAGGAGTTGCAATTGACTTGATGGCAATGAGTTTTGTTTTGTTTTTGGTTTGTGATTAGACACCTATCCCACCCTACTCCTCTGCCCTAACCCCCAATTCCAAAAAACAAAACAAAACCGTTTGCAGACTCCTAACTGATTCTACTAAGTATCATAAGGGGAAAGCTCCTTAGAGGCATGATGAGTCAGCGGAAGGACACAGGAACAGACTTCTCTGACCTTCACCTCTGAAGTAAGCACCTCCCACAATGGCCCCAGTATCACCTCTTCCCACTCTCATTGCCACTGTCCTCATTCCTTCTCAGCTGGCCTCAAGAAGCCAACTGGCTTCTGTCATTTCCTTTCTCTTCTCTGATCCACCCATCACTGCTTCCAGAACAGTCTTCCTAAAGCACTGGCCTGACCAGCAAGCACAGCTCTGATGATCACATTTCTCTTCAGTTTTAAAAACAAAAGAAGGCAACACTCAGTAGATTTCACTGGTTCCTGACAGCCTCCAAGCTCAACACGTTTTAATATTTAAGGTCCTTTATGCCATGTGGTGCTGTGGGTTAATGCGCCAGACTGCAAAGCCGTTTGAACTGCAAGGTCGGGGGTTCAAGTTCACCAGCTACTCCTCAGAAACCCTATACAGGGTCGCTATGTGTCGGCATCGACTTGACAGCACTTAACAACATCATAAACCAGTTGACAGTTGACCTTCTTCCATTGCATACTTCTGACCATGCGGTACTGCCCATCATTTGCTGCAGCTTGAAAAAGTCCTCCTTTTTTTGCCTAGTGGCACAGGGTTCTAGGTGCTTGGCAGCTAACTGAAAAGTCAGTGGTTTGACCAAACCCACCACTCGGTAGGAGAAAGATGTGGCTGTGTGATTCTGGAAAGTCTTGGAAACTCTATGGGGCAGAGTTCTACTCTGTCCTATAAGATTGTGATGAGTTGGAATCAACTCTATGGCAATGGCTTAAAAAAATTTTTTTTTTAATGTACTTGCTAATTCTTTTTGTCTAAAATATTCTAAAGGTCTCAATCTCCATTTTCTACCCAACAAAATTTGTACCAAATATATATACATATATACATACAAACACGCACAAGCCAAAAAGTATTAAAACATGTCTGGGAATGATACACAGCTACTTTAGAGTGTGTTTTAACTTCTGAGGAAGAAGCAAAGAAGGATGAAGGGGTGTATCATAGATTAAGTTGTGTTCCTCACAAAACATGTGTCAGCTTGGCTGGGCCATGATTCTCAGTGGTATATTCTGCAGCATGCTTCATTTTACAAGAGCTAAAAGGAGAGAAAAGTGAGCAGAGAAAGGGGACCTAGTACCACCAAGAAAGAAGAGCCAGAACTGGAGTGTATCCTTTGGACCTGATGTCCCTGAACTGTGAAGCTCTTAGATCCAGGGAAAGATTGATGCCAAAGCACATGGAGAACTCCAAGGAATGCTGGGTGTATAGATACTGACAGGACACAAGACCTTTCCCCAGAGCCGGCTCTCTGACTTCAGACTCTTAGCCTCCTAAACTGTAAGAGAATAAACCTCTGTTGGTAAAGCGTCCACTGTGGTATTCCTGTTACTGCAGCACTGGAGAACTGAGACAGGGCCTTTAACTAGGCTGATAGTTTAGCTCTTAAAAAAAAAGGAACTACTTACCAATTCTCTCTTTGCTTCTTCAATTTTCACTTGAGCAAGAGATGGATTCTTGACAGAAAAACAAAACAAGGACAGGTTATATTGTCTCAATTTTGCTCAAGGGAAAAATACAACAATTTCTTATAAATGGCAAAAGAAACTTACAGAGAGTTTATCGAGTAGACATGCAATATTGAAATCCACCACTGACTGTAAATCCCCAGACACACACCCGCTATTTTCATGAAAATAGGGTGCCTTTGGGGAACATTAGAGGGAATGATTTTTTTTATCCATAAGATTAATTACCGGCATTAAGTCTAAGTAAGATTCTAATTTTTTCTTCAGCGGGATAGTCTGTCGTTTCAATTCTGCCAGTTTCTGTGGGTAAAACACAAAGAGTCACAGAGTAATGGAGACATTCACAATGCAACTAAACACAGCCCGTTTCTGAAAACAAAACACAATTGAGCCTTAAGTTAGGATATTTAAAAATAACAAGTCTATTCAAGAGATTCAGAGGGAAAAAGACGAAGTTTTCTACTCTAATAAAGATTTACAGCCTCGGAAACCCTATAGAGTGTCGCTATGAGTAGAAACCAACTTGATGGCACACAATTACCACCATCACTCAAGAGTCTCAGGGACAGGTAAACTCATTTCAAACGCAAACAATACTTACACAAGATGTTTAAGATTTCCATCTTGTAAGTTCTACTCACATTCATTCAGAATAGGTTTTAAGTATGTTTTTGGAAAACAAAAAAAAAACTAGAAATAGGAATCAGAAAGTACAGAAACAACCAGAGTCTCAAATATATATTTATGAATGGTAAACTTTAGATTCCAACAACCGAAGTTGAAAGAAATCTTAAAAACATTAATACAAAATCTCCTATTTCTCCCTCTTTTAGCTAAAATACAAACTAAAAACCAAAACTGGTGTTTGGGGATTTTTTTTTTAAGGTACACTGAAAGAGAAGACATATCAGCACCTTGATGCTTGGTACACAGCCACCTCAATAAATATTGGTTTAATAAACAAATCTCTCATATAAAACTGACTGCAAGGCAAGTGTTTCTATTTCTAGCCTACAGTTGTAAGTAAAGGAAACCAAAGATGTGAGGCTATACATAGCTGAACAAGTAAGAAAGATACAAATACTACTGAATATAAAATACAAAAAGGAGAGCGATCAGTTCAGTAGTGTAAAAAGAAACAAAGAAAAGAGCAGATTCTGGACGAGTATTTTCAAGACAGGTGAAGTAGGTTCAAAGCAGCTCACCTCGGACAGAGCTACCAGTGACTGGTGAGAGAGAGACGCGTCCATGCCTCTGGCTGAAAGCTGCTCCTACAACAGTGAAAAACAGTACACCTTTTCAGAGTGACCACCGCGAACTGTTTTCAACATATGAGCCAGTAACCTATGAAGCGTAGATGAAAAACTGCCCACACATCCAAGACTTTGATGTTATACAAGAACCGTTTCCACACTATGGATCAGTGTGGATCTGTGTAAGTCTGAGCCCCTGGGGTTGAAGCTGTACCTACTGTGAAGAGGCTATGTGACAGTGGGCCTCAGCGCTATCACCTGTAAGAGGGGAGGAACAGGGCTGCCTCAACTCACTACCTGCAGTCCTTTATACAAACCTCTGTCGCCTTGATTCCACATCTGAACTCCTCTGACTTCGCTTTCAGGAAGTCCAAGTTCTGAAGGCGATGGTCAATTTTAGCCTTTTCCCGAGAGAGATGCTGCTCAGCTTTCTTCAGGTCACTTCAAAAATAAAGTTAACACATTTTCTGCTCAGTGACACTATTATATAAAACTAAATTCTATCACTTTTTGGGTACAAGTTTGGGTTACTGAATTGTAGAGAACCTCCTTGATGGATATGTCCCATAAGTTTTACATCCCAGACTAGCTACCATGGACACTCTTCCAGGTCACTGGCTCCTATACATTGTGGTCTCAGACGTCTCTCAAGAAACACAAATTAATTTTAAGACTGCTGTTGTTAAGTGCTGTTAAGGCAGTTCCAACTCCTAACAACCCTGTAAAGGGTTTCTGAGAAGCGGCCTTGCAGTTAGCAGTCACAGCACCATACCAGGACTAATTTAAGATTCTTGTTGTTGTTGTTAAGTGCTGTCAAGTCAGTTCTGACCCACAGCGGCCCTGTATAGGGTGTCTGAGGAGTAGCCGACCTTGCAGTTCAAACGACTTCGCAGTTCGGCGCATTAACCCACAGCACCACACCAGTGCTCTAATTTAAGATTAACCTATGCCAAATATACTTGGGGAAAGGAAATCTGCTCAGAAGAATACCTTAAGATATCCTAAAGTCAATTGGAAAATATGAAGGTGCCAAATCTCACACACTAGGCACGTTCAGGAAGTATGTAAATTTAAAGGGTTTTGAATGAAAGCAGGGGTAGAAGTTGTGGTTCAAACAGTAACAGGCAATCATAAGATAGAAAGGTCTTTTTAATAAGAAAGAATGCTCATTCCTACTTATGCAGCAATTCATTTTTTAAGTATTTCACTCCTCTGTTGCTTTACTAGGGAGCCCTGGTAGCGCTGTGGGTTAGGCATTGGGCTGCTAATGTTGGTGTTTCAAAACACACCAACCACTCCAAGAAGAAAGATGAGACTGTCTGTTCCTGTAAAAATGTGTTGAGTCAGAAATGACTTGATGGCGGTCAGTAAAGTCTGCTCTACTAAACAGGATTTTTTGTTTTGTTTTTATGTGCCATGGTGTTGGTTCTGACTCATAGCAACCCTGTACACGGTTTCCGAGGCTGTAAATCTTTACGGGAGCAGAAAGTCTCATCTTTCTCCTGTGGAACAGCTGGTAGTTTCGAACTGATGATCTTGTGACTCGCAGCCCGATTCATAACCACTATGCTACCAGAGCTCCTAACTAAACAGGATATAACATACTTATTTTATATACTTATTTATTATTTGAGGAATGACTTTATACACCACCAAAGTACTTCTACAAATAGATACTCCTCACCCAGAGCTTCTAATCTATGGAGCAACAGGGACCTAAAGTAGGTCAGTAGCCTCAAAAGAAGATACTAGAGCTATAGTCAGGAAGGGCAACGAAAGGGCATGTGCCTTTGACTTGTACACTAGTATGTGAGAAATTCCACACATTAAATAACTCATGGTAGTTGTAAAACGGGAGTCCTGGTGTGGTGCTGTAGGTTAATGCACTGCACGCCCTGCAAAGTTGGTTTGAACTACAAGGTCAGCAATTCAAACTCTCCATCCTCTCCTCAGAAACCCTATATAGGATCGCTATGGGTCGAAGCCACCTCAACAGCACGTAACAACTGTGAAAACTGCAAAAAAAGTAAACTGTACTAAGTAAAAAGCGAAAGTCTATACCCAACCACCCTATTTCATAATCTTCTACTTCTAAAACATTTCCTAGGTGTCATTTCCTTATATGTTCTTTTAAACCATGCCTATGGCCAAGCTAAAATTGTTAACCACTTCCAACTCAATTACTTACTCTTGTAGACATTTTTCTAATACCAAAGTTCCAGTTAGATTTTTTTCAAGTTTTGTCAATTCAAGCTTGATTTCTTCATTTTTAGATTTGGTACGAAAAAGATCAGAGGTCAAATCATTCACTGCAGGAATGAAACTAAAAGAAAAATCTGGTCACAGAGGTGGACATTAATGACAATAATTAAGCATTAGCTCTTATTTGTAAAAATGATTTTACCTCCGTATGGATACTTTTACACACATACATATACACTCATACATTTTATTATAGAGAAACATATAAAAACAAAATATTTGCCATTTTAATAATTTTGATATGTTCAATTTAGTGATGTTATGGTTGTATAACATGGTGAACATATCATTAAATTGTTGTTGTTGTTAAGTGCTGTTGAGTCGATCCTGACCCATAGTACAAAGCCGTTGAACTGCAAGGTCAGTGGTTCAAGCATACCAGCTGCTCCTCGGAAACCCTATACAGGGTCGCTATAGGTCAGGATCCACTCGACAGCACTTAACAACAACAAGATTTTAGTGATATGTTCACCATGTTACATAACCATCACCATTATTCATTTTCAAATGTTTTCAACATCCTGCCAGACAGAAATTCAGTGCAGGTTAAGTAATACCTCCTTTTCACCCCCTGCATCCACCTCTAGTAGTCACTGATAAACTGGTCCCTATATATTTGCTTATTCCAGATATTTCATAAGTGAGATAATATCGTATTTGTCCTTTTATGTTGTATTTTGTTCAGAATAATTTTTTAAAGGTTCACGTGTAGCACAACATGTACCCGAATTTTATTTCTCTTTGTTGCTGAATAATATCCCATTGTATAGATAGACTACATTTTGTTATCCATTCTTTTCTTGATGGACACTAGGATTGCTCCCACCTTCAGGCTTCTATGAATAATGCCACAATGCACACTGGTGTACTAGGGTCTGCTTGAGTCCCTGCTTTCAATTCTTTTGGGTGTATACTGAGGAGCAGGACTGCTGGCTCATGATGTACATGGATTCTCACATAACCACAGCGTTCCATACCTCTGTTTGGTATTTACATGCTCTTCCCATTCCTTAGGATGCCCTTCTTCAGCGCACAAATTTCCACTTTTCTTTTAAAACTCAGATAAAATATCTACCCTCCCAGAAATCACTAGTCCTTTGCTTGGGCTACCCAGCTACAGGCTGTATATTCTTGTATTGCTGCAGCTGCTGAACTCTATTGAATAGTTTGTCCATCATCCTATATGTGACGCTGAACAAAACTACCCCTGAAGGTGGTTACTATTCATCTCTGACCCCCCCATGTTTACAGCACAATGCCTAGCGTATGACAGGTATTTGGTGTCTGTTGAATTGACTTGATTTCTGCTACCATACGGCCTAAACGTTCTTCTAGTTAAAATACCACCTGTCTGATTGCATATGAGGAAGCTTCAAAAAGTTTGCGGAAAAAATTTAAGCAATCTTTTAAAATTATTTTCCCACAAAAAGTTTGAAGCCCTTCATATATGAATTCCAGACACTTGTATGAGGGTAAGTCAAAAAGTACTGCTACACAATCAAGCACCATCGGGGGGCTCTTACAAAATCATAGAAATGTATTCAATAAGAGTATCAAACTGTGAAGCTGTTTGATAGCCTTCTGATATACCCCCATTTAGGTCTATATACTTCTGAAGGCAGTGTTTCCATTCCTCAAACCCTTCCCCAAAGAATTCTGTGCTATTTGATTTACACCACTTCAAAATGATACTTTTGGAATGCTTAAGGGACTCAAATCGTGTTTCTTTTCAATGGTGTTTGAGTTTGGGAAACAAAAAGTCTAAAGGGGCAAGACCAGGGCTGTAAAGTGGATGGGGAAAGATTTCTCAATGAACTCCTCATAGGACAGTTGTCTCCACCTCAAAGAACAAGCAAGTACAGTACTGTGATGGAGAAAACTTCTTCACAGCAACTTTCCTGGCCTTTTTCTCACCTACGCCGTTTTCAATTTTCTTCAGACTTCTTCCTGATAAGCCTTCATGATAGTCTGTATCCTTTTGAAAAGACTTCCTCTCAAGATTAACCCTTTACTTCCCCAAAAATAGTCATCATAACTTTCTAAGCTGACATCTCTACCTTGAATTTAACAGGTCAGGCAGATCTACTTGGAAGCCACTGTTTTGATTGGACTTTTGTTTTTTTAAAGCACCATAGACACTAAGACAACTGTGTGACTGTGAGAACTTGTCTGCAGCCATTCACTGACCACAGAGATATGTTTAAGGATATTTTGTTTGGAATAAACCTATGCATGTAGCTACGGAATTAGCTGTGCAGTTCTTGGACGCTAATGACAAGTTGGATCATGACAAGCTATAGACAATATTGCGAAGTATGAGTATTCCGGAACACTTAATTGTGCTCATGAGGAATCTGTACATAGACCAAGAGGCAGTTGTTTGAACACAACATGGTAACACTGAATGGTTTAAAATTAAGAAAGGTGTG